TCGAGATTTTAGTAAGTTTTAAGTTAACAGGAAACATATATACACTTTTACAATATTTTACTTATTTTGTTGTTTGATATATATTTTAAATAATTATTAAAAGATTTTTGAAGCAAGTCATGTTTTTTTCTAAAAAATATTTGCCAATAGCTGGCTTGATAACTTCTTTATTCATGTGATGTATCTAAACGTTTATTGTTGTATTTAGCGTTGCAAGTGGGTTTTTATTGATTTATTTTTACATATGGTTTTATATACCAATATTAGTCTGAGTAAATAGCATTTATTTTTTTCCAAATGTTATTTGATAGGAATAATCATTTAATATTACTATGACGACTGGCTGTTCTTTTAATAATGTGTTTTATACAAAGTCATTTTTAATTTATTTCAAACGGTTATTTTTCAGATACTATATTTCATAAACAATTTATTACTAATACGCTTGACATTGCGTCCTGAAAACTGTCATCCTGAACAATTTTAAGTACAGGGAGTGAATAAAGTAAGAATGAAAGGATATCTATTAGTGGATAAATGAATCGGTGAACTAATCCGAGTCAGCAATAAATAGCAGTGAATTTATTTATAGGCGAATCATTGAAGGACATTTCAGTGAATAGTTGGATAAATGAATAAGTTTAATGCATAAAAATGCATAAAATGCGTAATAATGCATAAAAATACCTATAAACCTGTAAGTTTTTAATGTTTATACTTGATTCATTAAAAATATTATCTATATTGAATATTAATTCTAGAATACTTCAGATAATGTTCTCATTAATTAAACTAACGGCTTTCTTTTTCAACCTTGAATGCATTAATTGTAATTTTAACCTTGTTAGCATGTTTTCCAAATCAAAATTTAGGACTGATGTAGATTTTATAATCCTCTAATAGAAATATTATAATTTAAAATAAAAAAAAGCATAACTTAACAGCGTTATGACTACACCAGCAAGAGAATTCAAGGATTTTTTTAAAAATATTTCTTTTGCAAAATTAACTTTTTAAGGGCGCCGTTTTCAGTGTCGCCCGGATTGAGACAACGTCATCAAGTTTTAAAATATTAAAAAATTAGACCACAAAAGCTTTCCATTTTCACAAAACTGTGACTTTTCTCCATATTTACATTTTGCGTCGTTTTCAGAATAAACATAGAGAGAGCAATGGCCACAGATAGGCTAAGCCTGACCATGCAGTCATAAGCAACAGTTGTAAACTAACAGCAGTTATGAAAATAGCATATTATTCGCAAAAAAAAGAATAATTGCATAAGATGACGGAAGTCTACGAAAGACAGTCTTTAATTTCTTTGAACTTAAATGCGTATGCTAATTTTGCATATGCTAATTTTGCATACGCTAATTTTGAAAAACATATTAATTAGGAATAAAATTAACTATTTTACACTCTGAGCCCCAAAAAATAAACATCCAAAATCTTGACAAAAAAAAAAAATGAAGCTGCAGTGTTTGCAAATTGAAATAAAATAGAACAAATTCTTTCGTATCTAAATGCGGCTTTCTTAATTTCATTTTTTTTCCTTCCTTCTTTTTTCAATGCGTGATCGAGCTTGTTTTTATTTTTAATCATCGTCAAAATATAAAATTATCGAAATTTGAATGATTTAATGATCGGATTTTCCTACGTGCTACATTAAAGTTGCAGTCTGTGCATGGATCAATGAACGTCACCCTAGTGTTAATTATAAATGTAAGTATGTTATAAAGAATTCAACAAAAAAGAACATCCTAAAAATGCGTTAAATTATGAAAGTTTTGATACCATGAAGTCATCCTTAAATATGCACAAATTCCTTAATTGCATAATTGCATAAATCATTATTATTATTTTTTTAAGGTTAACTTCGTGTTCTAAGTCCCTCAGTGTTATTAGTACCTCCATGTACCTCTATGTCAATAATTTTATTGCGATTACGAATTTGGAAATAGTATATATCAATTTTAAATTATACATTTGATCAATCTTAAATTATACAATTTTAAATTTGCATAAATGCATAAAACATTATTATTATTTTTTAAGGTTAACTTAGTATTCAAAGTCCCTCAGTAGTATTAGCATTTGCCTTCAGTAGTTTTATGCGAAACCACGATCACGAAGTACCTCTATGTCAATAATTTTATTGTGATTACGAATTTTGAAATAGCATTGATCAATTTCAAATTATACATTTGATCAATTTTAAATTATACAATTTTAAATTTGCATAAATGCATAAATCATTATTATTATTTTTTAAGGTTAGCTTAGTGTTCAAAGTCCCTCAGTATTATTAGTATTTGCCTTCTTCAGGTTTATGCGAAACCGCGATCAAGAAGTACCTCTATGTCAATAATTTTATTACGATTACGAATTTGGAAATAGTATTGATCAATTTTAAATTATACATTTGATCAATTTTAAATTTGCATAAATGCATAAATCATTATTATTATTTTTTACGGTTAACTTAGTGTTCAAAGTCCCTCAGTATTATTAGTATTTGCCTTCTTCAGGTTTATGCGAAACCGCGATCACGAAGTACCTCTATGTCAATAATTTTAATGCGATTACGAATTTGGAAATAGTATTGATCAATTTTAAATTATACATTTGATCAACTTTAAATTATACATTTCAAATTATACATTTGATCAATTTTAAATTATACAATTTTAAATTTGCATAAATGCATAAATTATTATTATTATTTTTTATGGTTAACTCAGTGTTCAAAATCCCTCAGTGGTATCAGGTATCAGTATTTACCTTCTTTAGGTTTAGGCGAAACCACGATTACGAAGTACCTCTATGTCAGTAATTTTAATGCGATTACGAATTTGGAAATAGTATTGATCAATTTTAAATTATACATTTGATCAATTTTAAATTATACAATTTTAAATTTGCATAAATCATTATTATTATTTTTTAAGGTTAACGTAGTGTTCAAAGTCCCTCAGTGTTATTAGTATTTGCCTTTCTTAGGTTTAAGCGAAACCACGATCACGAAGTACCTCTATGTCAATAATTTTATTACGATTACGAATTAGGAAATAGTATTGATCAATTTTAAATTATACATACCGAACCTCCCTTCATCTCCTGCTCAACTCAAGATATTTCGACCTGTTTATCAATAAATGATACTGGTCGTATAGCTGAACGACATTTTCACATTCATGACATTCGCGGCATTTATTAGATTTCTCTTACTTACAGGGTGATCCAAAATTCTCTTTACAACTTCAAAAATTCATAACTTCGAAAATAAACAAGATATTTATATTCTGTCTTTTGCATGTATTACTAGTACACTTTAACATGCGCACCATTGGTGGCCCTAAGCACTTCCAGTCTGTAATCAATTTCAAGTCAGGTGATGTAAAGATAATTTTGGAACACCCTGTATATAATTTTTAGGTTTTTAGAGTAGCTTCAAACCAAGTGCTGTTGGTGGTAACTGTCTTTTTAATATTTTTTTAAAAATTGAAGCCTGTCTGTGTTCAATAAATAAATAAATTCGTTAATTGCTATTTATAAATAATTTTATTTTCATCTTCTGTTTAACACATTGCTTAGATTTATTTTACATTTTTAAATTTAAACAAAGAGAGAGAATGAAAGTAAATTGTTTTAACAGTAATCAAATATTTTTTAATTTTTTTATTATTTTTTTTAGCTAAATGAAATCTATCATTTAATTGTTCCCCCGCTTCTCAACTATGCTAACCGTCGCCAGTAAAGACGATGCAATTTGCAAGGCCAGTCACTTTTAGGTTTTATCCGCCCGCAAATAAGCGAACGTATATATTTTTGTAAACCAAATAAACTATTTTCAGTATTCTGCCTCTCCTACATCAGTGTAGCTCTTAAACTTTAGTCTCATAAAATATCTTAAAAAATAATTGCATTTTTTTTTTCTTTTTTGGTTTAATTTTTATGATCCTCTGAATTAATGATATAGTTAGGTTGAAATTTTGATTCTTATATATTTGTATTTTGCCTAAGAAAATAAAATGCTTAAATAATAAGGCATGAGATTTTTTTTACGTCATGATTATCAGCAGATTAAACATCTGTCATACATTGCACCATGCTAAAACTCAAAATTTTGATAAAATTATTTTAAACAATTATAATANGGACTACTCTTCAGTAATTTAATTTCAAAATATCTTGTAAGGGGCCCAGAAAATTTGGTGGGCCTTGGGCCTGAATTTGTCTTGATCGGTCCCTGGGGCTATTGGTTACGATCTGGGAAATTTGAACTTCAGCTTAAAAGTGAAATTATATAATTTGTGTAAACGCATTTTTCAATTGTGTGCCTATGAAACCTTTCTAAATTAAGGGTTTTAGTTTTAAAATGTGGTTAGTAATAATAGGAACTAAATGACCATTTATTTTATTTCTTTATTGTTTCCACTTTGAATTTTTGACAGTGCCACACCATATCCATATCATTAGCCGAGAATAAATTATGCTTCCTAAAAAATATTTTTAGTGTATATTTATTCTTTTATAGCATATTTACATTTATAATTAACACTATACAAGTTCATTGATCCATGTGAAGAGAGCAGCTTTAATGCAGCAAAGTAGGAAAATACGATCATTTAATCATTTAATTTTATATAATTTTCTATTTTGCCGATGATTCATAATAGGAACCATCTCAATCACACATTTTACAGCGAAAAAAAAAAGGATGTTTTGAAGAAAAAAAAGAAAAAAAAAGAAGGAAGGAAAAAAATTAAGAAAGTCGCAATTAGATGAGAAAGAAAAAAAAAACATCGCCGAGAGTTCGATTTTAAAATAAATATGTAAAGAAAAAGAATTATTAGGTTTTTCTTTTTAAACTTCTCAGTCTTTTTTTTAAACTTTCTAAATTGTATTATCATATTTAAATTTGTAAAAACTGCAGTAGTTTCGTTTTTTTTCTTTTCATTTCTAAAGCGAAGCTTCCTTTGTTCTCATTTTTATCAGGGAGAACAACTCAACTCGACTCCGAGGCCAAAGACCACAGATGTTGGAGCGTTGACTGGATGTGGAGCGTAGAGCTACAGCTCTGAGAGTAGTGGGAATTCCTTGGTTTCTGCGGCTGGCGTGTGTATGTGCAATGTCGCTTCACTATCCTTTGTGTTTTGTTGTTTATCTGTTCGCGCTATCTAATAGTGTGTCAATCCAATGTATAATTTGTGAAAATCAAAATGTGAGGGACGCCAAGAAAGTGTAACTTTAAAATGAACGCTGGGGGTGATTTGGCGACCTGAGAATTTCAAGTTTTTTAAGGACTTTGATTTGGAATACTGCATGGCGCTTGTGGGATCTCGAGCTTCTCAAATGAGGGCTTTCCAAACTGTCAATTCTTCATCACAGCAGCATAATATTTTAGCTGCTCAGACGTTTTATACGACAACGGCCGTAAACTCACAAGATGCCAAACATGACAGGCCCATAGGCTACGGTGCTTTTGGAGTGGTTTGGTAAGTTACTTCAATTCCTTTGTTTGGGTTCGATCGCCCCTGAACAAGCGATCTGTAAAACACCTGCAGTTACCTGGGTTCTCAGATTATTAGTTAAAGGAACTAATTATTCTAAAACACTTAACAATCTTAATACTTTATTCTTTGTTGGAATAGTTTATGTTATGTTATTTCCGTGTTTGTAAACATTGAACCATTGTTTCATACACAATTCTATGACATATTTTTATTATGCTTATTTATCTACTTAACTTTAAATAGTATAATCCTTTTTTTAAAAGTGACCAACTAAGCTGATCGATATATTGAATAAAACTCCGCATTTTTCTTTCTAAATTTTTGATCTTTGTCTTCAAACATTTAAAGATTAATAAAGTGATCATTTTAAGTGTGAAGTTTATCACTCTATGCCTACTAATAGGACTTATCAGTTATTAAACATTTACCAATTTTGTGATATTTCTTTTCCTAAAAATAATTACAAGATAAATATCCATTTTTTTTAAATTTTTTTTATATTAACTAGGTATGTGGGTCTACAGAAAATTTAGGAAATGCGATTTTCCCACCTCTTCAAATAAATACTATGTGTTTTAAATATGATTAAGAAGCAAAGCAGCATAAATATCTTGTTTTAGCTACTAACATAAAGCCAATGTGAAATATTGGAACTTATTACTGATCGTTTCGGATAATTATTAACTTGTACTGGCCAATTCCATTATACAAAAGACAATATAACAAAAAAATAAATAATTAATTTCTTCCCACCATTAAAAATTTGTTTAGCTTTTTATTAATTTTTTTGGCTTTGAGAAAAAAATATTAGTTTGTAAGTATTTTGTAATAATAAAACAAAGTTGACTGAATATAGTTTGTATTTGTAACATTTCACATTGTTCTATTCAACGTTTTCACAATTAATTCCACCCAAATCTGTTTCGGCTTATTGTCAGTCCATAACGTATGAAAATGCCATTTGTTTTACATGATTCAAAATTTCATGAGTTATGATAATTATCAGAAACAATGCTAAATTTTTTTTTTTGACATGACGATTAAAACAAGATAAAACCGTCAATTGTGAAAAACTTTAAAGCCTTGCTTAGTTTTTATTAAAGTGCTTAAAAATATTTTTTTAGTGCTTAAAAGGTGCTTATTTTTCGTTGAATAATTTGGCTACACACCCTGATTTTATATATATAATTTCATACCTACTTTCAATGTTTCCTGTTAATTTTAAGTTTTTTTTTTTTTTCATTTAAGCTAAACTCTTTATTGCTTATGGAAGGAGAATTTCAAAATAAATATACCTACCATGACTTTTTAATGTAACTTTAGTCATAGTTTATATTTAAGGAAAGTTATATATTTTTTTTATCCCTTTTTCTTATACGCATCATACTATTAGGTTGCTGAAAAATATCTCGCATGATTTTTTAAAAAGAATAGATATTATTAAATATTTAATAGTGTTTTAAAAATAACCTATCAAAATGTAATGTCAATCACCATGAAATTGCCCATCTACCTTTTATCTTTAATTAGTCTTATTAAAAATCTTTCTATTTATAGGTTAGACTAAATCTTGCCAATGATTAAAATAATTTTTATTAATACTGCTCAATTTATTTCATATCCCCTCCGCAGAGGATCAAAATTGTGATGGCATGTCTTCGGATCATCTTCTGGGATGTTTCCCAGACCGTCGCCAATAGCCCATTGTGCAGCTCTAGTGCGACGTAAATTAACAACAACAATATTTCAAAACATGTTCCTTGTGGCGGAATTTTTTTCGAGCTTTCTGAGACAAAACTCTCTAGCACCAATATCTTTATGCAAGATACCTTTAATAATAATGCACATATATGTTGCTAATTTAAAATAATGAAAGCGCTGTGTTTACAAGAAAAAAAAAACTATATAATTTATTTAATCGTACATGTAATAATTTTTTACTCTAATATTATGGGTGATATTCCAATTTTGTTGGAAGGGGAATGCACAAATTATTTTCTTGTTCGCATTCAGTAAGTAATCATCACAGTAAAAAGAAATTTAAAAAATCATTAAATCCGTAGTAGTAATTGCCGAAAAAAGATTAACAATGACATCATGTTAATCGGACTCCTCAAATGTGTGTTTCGCTTCGAGATTAAGTTGTTGTAATAAAGGTATGAATATATCGGATTTAAAACTATGGAGAAATCAATAGAAATAAACTGCCAAAAATTCGATAGAATTATTGTCTTAAAAAGCAAATACTCAAATGCATAATTCGAATTGTCCTTATTGTTTGAAATATATCGGGATATTTAAAATCCATGTAAAAATTAATATCAATTAACTCCCGAAAATACAATAGAAACATTACATTGATCTACTATATTATCGGTGTAAATTGAATGTGTCAAAGTATGATTATCTAAATGTGATTATGTTTATGTGTGTGATTATGTTTTTCAAAAAAATAATAAAATCTTTCTGCAAGAACTCAGTAACGTTCTGCGGTAATTAACTAAAAAACTGTGGCTATCAGAAAAGAGGGGATATTTCTGTATCGTGATCTGTCGCGCCAACTACAATCGCTAAGGTGCCAAATAGATTTTAAAACTTGCAATTTTTTTTAAAAAAAAAACATGTAGATGTTAGCCCTTGGGTGGTTACAAGTTATACCTTTCGAGTTGGTCCTTTTCTGTGATGTTTTTTTTGTTAGTTTCTTGTGGGCCGTTGCCCGGAAGTTTCCAAGACTTGGCGATTATTCTGCCACATATCAGGATACGGAAATCTTCCCAGAAAAGAAGCTTACTTAATACTGGATAAATAATAATGTATGATTTCATGAATCAGATGCAGAGACTTCTCCAAAAATGTCAAATTTTGTGTTATTCTGATTACTGATAATTGCTAAGCTTTATGAAGGTTTTATTAATAAGTAGTTCTAAATTATTGAAGGCTATTTTCAAATTTTCAGACAAAAACACCTGATAATATCATATATTAATGTGTAAAGTAAATTTATTTTACCTTATTTTTTTACTTAATAAAGTTCATAATTTTTAATCCAGGTAGGAATGCATCGCAGAAATTGTCCACAACAATGATTGAAAAATAACTTGGATTTTCAATGAAATCGCCAAAATCAAAGCACTTCAAAAAGTGATTATTTAAATGTGCAATTTGAAACTCGCGGGTCGTAATAGTAATGTAAAGAAAATGCAGGATTTTCAAATTCATGTCAAATTCAAAGTGAAGCACGTCAAAAAGTGACAAATTAAATGTGCAATTAAGTTCACGAGGTTTAACATCATTATAAATATATCTGAGTTTTGACAACCACATGTACATTGGCTGTTATAAATGCGAAAAAAACACTAGGAACATCACTTCGATTTATATTAAAATCGGCAAGAATCATGCAAGTCAAAAAGTTATTACTCAAATTAGAAACATACGCATCATAATATCGTATTAAATATATATATTTATTATTTAAATCTTACAGATTTTCATAGCAATAACCTTCGAAAAGAGAAACAACATACATTTATAATAGAATGCACACAAATTGGATTCATCAGAAAATCATAACTCAAATTTGCAATTCGAAAGTTTTGAAATTAGTTTGAAAGAAAAATTGTGTTAAGAAGCTCTCATGGGCCGCACATCAACAGTCGAGAGGCCGCAGGTTGTGCATCTCTAGTTTAGTGTTTACATATGTTTTTTTAGAGAGAAACTTCTAGAAGAAAGCTTTACTTTTTTAGAACCATTATAAATGATTTGTTGATGATATTTTATTTGCTTTCAGTTCAGTTGGTTCCGCTCCTTCATTAGATCTGTGTGTATTTTAGTCTAACTTTGCATGCTTTGTACTATTTTTAAAATTTAATTCTATTACTATGCAACATCCTGAGAAGCCTCTAATTTTTTCAAATTTCATTCAGTCTGTATATATTATGATTTGCGTTGTATAGTTTTTACGTTTCAGCACTATTTAAAAATTGCATTAAGAACAAATAATTCATAGAATATCCCTGCAGTTAAAAATATCAGTTTTTGCTAACATAGCAGTTTTAAGTCCTTTATTCTGCTATATACTGATAAAGTGTATAAAAACCAATGTAAAAGATGTAAGGAAAAGACAGTAATATCTACAGTTTGTGTTTAAAAAAAAAAGGTCAATGTCATATTATGAATGCTGTGAGAAGAAGTTTCACTATTGTTTCTGTGACAACCTCGGAGTTTAAATATACTAAAATGTATGATGGTAATTTTTTTTTAAAAATATTGAATCATATTAATTAAATGAATTTTTTATTATTTTTATATTAATATTCTGTCATCACTTTAGGTCCGTGACGGATCCTCGTAATGGAAAGTTAGTGGCATTAAAGAAAATGCCTAATGTTTTCCAAAATCTTGTATCCAGTAAACGTGTCTATCGGGAGATTAAAATGTTGTGTTTCTTCAAACATGAAAATGTAAGTATGTTTTCTAAATATTGACTTTGCTTGCATTAAGATGCTTATATGGTAGAAATTATATTAATATCTCATTTTGTTTGGAGTTACATTTTAAAATGCTATCTCATTGTATATGTTTTTTAAGCAGCTGTGTGTATGAGTGATGTTAATGTTTGTTTTTAAGCATGTTCAGTGTTGTGTAATTGAGTTGTCGGAAAAAGTATTTTGTTTGTATTTTGTTTGATAATTCCGTGTAAAAGTTAAATTTGTTTGTTTTTTTTACTTTCTCCGCCTTTCCCTACTGCTCAAATAATTGTGTTACATTGGATTGTGTTTTTTTTTTCATTCTTTATTTTAGGTTGAACAAAAGTTTTTGCTTTTTGTAAACAAATGATTATCTTAATTTGACAAATAAATTGACTGATATTTTAAAAAAAATTTTTTTTTTGTTGCTTTTTATCAATAATTATGAGGTATCTGCATACCGTCATGGATTTCGGTATTGAACAAAATTTGTCATGAAATGTCATGATTTTAACTATTTTTTTTAAAAAAAATGATGGATTTAGGTTGCTGAGAAATCTAATTTTTAAAATGGAATCTACCCCCAACCCAATTTCACAGTGTACCGAATATCTGAATTTGTAACAAAATCTCGACTCATAGTCATATTAAATATACAAAATGTTTTTATCCTGTTCTTTAAAAATTATAGAGTTCTTTAAATCTTTAAAATAATGAAAGAACAAACATCATTTCTGGAGCGAATCATTTTTTAAACTTCCATGATATCAGAATTTTTTTATCATTTTTTTATTTTATCAATTTAAAATTCTAGTTTAGGCTTTTTATATTATACTTTTAAGATGAAATAAAACAGGTTTAAATAACTACATATATCTGACTGTATTTAGTTATTTGCTTTTGAATATTTTTTTAGCTATTTTATTGCTCCAGCTCTTTCTTTACTGTCATTTTTATGTTTGAAGTCAATGAAGATGCAGAGTGTAACAGTTTTGGTTATACCTATCATTTCAATTAATTTTATTATAATGCTTTTTTAAATATATTGTTCTGTTTTTGTCAGAGAAAATAGTAACTTCTGTAAGTCATGAAAAATTATTGGAATTATTCATGGAAAGTCATGAATTTGAAAATCTAAAATGTAGCAGATACCCTGTAATTTATTAAAATAAATATGTTAATATAAATATACATATTTAAAGTTTGCATTATAATGTCTTTTTCTTATAAGTTAGAGATGTCACTGGGCGTTTTTTTTTAGTGACAATGCTTATAGGTGAGTTGAATAAATAAGCTAATCAATAAATCAGTGTCATAAATATTAATTAAAGAATAAAAAAAAAGGTGAAATAAGGTAATAAACAAATTACTAAATCATAAATTCAATCAACTCCAGAATCAAGCTTTGATGTATAAGCATTGGTTAATCAAATTACTGAATCAATGATATAGCCAATTCTAGAATAAATAAATCAGCATTTCTTAGAATCACTGATTTTTTATTTATTATTTTTTGTGGTTCACTTATCTATGATTTGATTTAGTGACCAGCTGACTCACTCTTTCAGTATCCAGTTGCTCATTAAGTATTTTCTTAACTTCTCGATTTTCTCATTTGTTGGCATGCTCATTTGCTGATTTTGATTTGCTAATGTATCAAGCCACTCATTTTTTAAGTTCACTGAATTGGTGACTACTGATACACTATTTTATTGATATGCTCATTCTAAGACTAAGTGATTGAGAGAATTGCATATTTATTAATTTTGTCTTGACTTATTTGTGTAATTCTCTTATGCTTATATTAAGTGTGGGTTTTTTAACAGAAAGCTGCAGTAAATATCCAAAAAGTAAAGTTTTAATTCTGGTGTTTCTGACCTCCTTAGTAAGTAAAATTTATAAGTAAGAATGCAAAGTTACATTTTTAGTGCTAACAATGTGTTAAAAGGAATTTTGATTATTTGCTGTTTTGCATGTATACAAAGCATTCAATTATTAGTGTATTCTTTAATTGTTATTGGATAATGTTGCTCGCTTCGGTGACTTTTGTTCACAGGTGTCCACTGGGTAATGATAAATGAGCAACACTTCTGGCATCTTCTAAGGGGAAGAGCAAAAGTTCAGTGCTTGCCATTATTAAAAAAAAAATTTTTTTTTTACACTACTTAAGCAGATTGTTCTGGTTTCCCAGGTGGTTAATAATTTTTTATTAAATTATCAAATCTTAATAGCAAAGTAATTGTACAATAATTTCAAAGTAACTGTACAATTTCTTCATTTAAAAGGAGAGTAAAGAATGTTAATGAAAGTAATTTTTATTTGTTCCTCAAATATAATTTAAACTAGTTTTTCATGTTTTTTTTCTTGTTTATATCATTTTCTGATTTAAATTTCTTACTAATTAGATGTGATCATTAGTTTTTTGTATATTTGATTTGTTACCTTTCTATTCATTTTCACTAACAAGGTTTTTAAATTGCTATCAAAAATGATGATTTTATTTTATTAAAAAAGAACTTTATTTTTCAGGTTCTGTCGGCTCTTGATCTCTTACAACCTCCCCACATAGAATTTTTCCAAGAAATGTATCCTTTATTAGAATTTTTGTTTTTAATTAGCCTTTTTATAAGCATTTATAATTGGTTGTTGTTTTAAAACATAGTAATGTTGAGATAAAACATAGTTTAAACATAGTAAAACCAAATATTGGCATTTAATAAATGAATTAGTTATTTAAAATCAAGAGGAAATAAAAAATTTCATTTTGAGTAAGATTTTATTTAACAAATTATAAACTAATAAAAATAAGAAAGTTTTTCAATTTCACAAATTTAAATATAAATTTGCTATATTTCACTGTGCACATATAAGCACTATCTGACTACAGTTTGAAGATAAAAAAGGTGTTGAATACAGTATTTCTTTATTCTAGCAACAATATTCACTCAGAACTGCCAACTTTCTATGTTTTTTTTGGGGAAAATTTCTTTTAGTTGTATCTAAGTTTGCTTTAATGCATTATTCTTTGTTTTTTAAAAAAATTCTGAAATCTAGTTTTTAATTATCTACCACTCTTTAAAATATTTTGCAAAAAGTGTAGTGATTGGCAGTCTTGTTTACATTATGGTAAACACAAAATCATTATCTTAAATGTAAGTTTTGATTATTTAATGAGTAATTTTCTTTGGCATTAGAAATGATTATAAAAATTACTCTTTCTCCTAAAGAAGTTAAATAGAGTTAATTGTTTCATATAAACCAGGCAAATTGTTTAAGTTACATACATTTAATTTATTAGATATATTTATGTGAATATTAACTTACTATAGAAGATATCTTTGATCAATTTCTAATCATTGTTACATTAAAATTGAAATGTTCTTTAAATGTTATTAAATAAGTTATTTTTCAGAATAATAATTACAATAATACTGGAATTCAGACTCTTTCTCAAAGTATGTGACAGTAAATTAATGTGTTATTCCTTTGTAGTTGAGGTAATCCAATTAGTAGGGGAGACCTGTGTACCTAGGGCCACCTTTTTTCAATTCATAAAAACAGAGCCACGGATTTGTTTAAAATTGTGAAATTGATACACACACATCATATTATACTTACTGCTTCCGATTGGGATTAATATAAATACTTAAAATAATAAATTCTGTCAAATAGAAGGTTTTTTAAAAAACTTCACAAATGGCCCTAGGTACAAGAACTCATTGTACCTAGGACCCTAGGTCATTGTACCTAGGGCCATTCCCTGAAAGTTGGGTTTCACTCCATAATCAATAGAAAAAAATACACACATGAATTTTCTAAAAGAAACAATATCAAGTGATACATTGATTTATTGTATAATAACAGTTTAAATTGCAATACACCAAATTATTAGTGAATTACAAGTACTTGCATAAATTATTCAACATTATAATTTGAAAAACTGATTCCAAACATGAGCTGCATACATTGTCGCTCTGAAGCAGCAACAGATTTTGGTTTGGGCAATTTGAATACAATATTTGTGTTATCAATTTCATAAATAACATCTTTATCATAGAGAAACTTATTTGAATGTGCGATTTTTTTCAGGTATTTAACACTATATTGTTCCTCTTTAACATCTATTATTTCTGCCACATAAAAATGTTCATTCTTTTTGCCTTGTAATCTTGTTAAACAAAAATCCCCTTTTTCAATAGTATCACTTATATCAGCTACTGTAGAACTTGCATCATCAGTGGAATCAGAAGAATCTACAATGTCTGATAATTCTTCAGATGAAGTTTCCGCAATTTGAAACACTGGTTTTTTCACTTTCTTTTTCTTTTGGCCATTCTAATCGCAATTTGTTCTTCAAGTTCTTTTTTTTCTGGAGTGTCTGTCAGGATTCTACATTTCCCTGGTTTTCGACCGCCTCTTTTGGATGTACGGGGTTTTGCTTTTGGGGAAGGTCGTACCTGTTCAGGCGTGACACAGGAAGTAGAGCTGCATGTAGGTAGCTTGGTAGGTAGGTTTGATATAGAAACATCCAGTTCCATCATTGTTGATTCACTTTCTTCTTTAGGAAAATTATTATTTTGGTAATTTAAGGAAGGATCTGGTCTGTCGGTAACATATGAACTGAAATATTCATCATCAGTGAATATGTTTTCATTTACTGGCCATATACCAGACACACGAAATCCCGCTAGAATGTTTACAGGAGTAAAAGCCAAAGGGTAGGATTTGCCAACATTCTCCGCAACGTCATATATGGTGATAGTTTTCCCAGGATTTGTCAGCATCCAATTACTACACGCTGTACTGTAGTATTTTTTAAAGGGACCAAACACACCTCTGTCCAATGGTTGAAGCTTATGGCTGGTATGTGGAGGAAAGGTAAGCATAACTATGCCATGTTGTTTAGCCAAAGTGATTGCTTCAATACTGACATGGCTTTCGTGGTTGTCTAAGAATAACAATACTTGATGATCTGCTGAACATTTAACGTGGTGAATAAAATGCTTTAAAAATTCAACAAATGTTTTAGCATTTGACCAACCACTAATGTGTGCTGTCCCCACGGTTCCTGGAGGTGAACCTTTCAGCATGTGATTTTTAAAGTTCACTCTTGGGAAAATCATCATAGGAGGGACGGAATTTCCTATTGCATTTACACTGCAAATAATAGTTATATTAATTCCTCGTTCACCAGAAGTCATGCTGCCAACCTGTTTCTTGCCTTTTGGGGCTATAACTTTACTTGGTGTGTGAACTGTCGTAATGCCTGTTTCGTCCACATTATAGATGCATTCAGGCAAAAACTTGTATTTTGAAAACACCTCCTGATACTTTGAAAAAAAAAAATCGACATTTGTTTTATTGAAGCTGGTGGCTCTTGCTAAACTCGTGGCTTGGGGTTTTCTTAGTGAAAGAACCTTATTATTTCTTTTCATAAAATCAAAGTACCATTGATCACCAGCTTCACTATTTGCATCCCAGGACTTCGGATATTTTTTTCTATTGGCGGTTGCATACTCAAAAGCAAGCTTTTTAACCTGTTGTTTTGACAACCCGTAATGCATATTGCATGCAACGAGAAGGTACTGAATGAGGGCATTCTCTTCATCTTTAGAGAACACTGTCCAAACAGCACATCGGTTAGAATATGCACAATTTAATTCTGTATTTTCAGAATTATTCTTCCTACAAAAATCAATATGTCTCTGCAGAGTTGTTCTGGCTACTCCAAACTGTCGTGCTGCAGTCCGAACTGGAACTCCATCCTTCAAAACTGCTTTTGCAGCCGCACTTACATTATCTGCATTAGGTTTTGACCTCTTTATTCCATCAGGATTTCTAGGCATCTAAAAACATAATTAGGAATTTGTAATTAGTACTCACGAAGAGGAATACTGATAAATTAGAAATTTGCAAATGGTATAAAGGTTGAAAATTTAATTAAAATTTCATAGAAACCTTATTTAGAATTATACTTTTGCTTTTATAAATATATCCTATATATTAATAAATTCTCATATTTAAATAAACAAATTAATAATCCTGAATAATAATAATAGCAAACTTATGTTTTATAAGTCAAGCACATTAAAAGTTCCAAAGCAAAATATATACCCTCTCACTTACATAACATGCAATAACAAAAAGTTTGACTAAATCAAAATGGTTCAGATAATTAAAGCCATTTTCCTCCATTTATTACAATAACTTCTCAATAAAATAACAACATAAAGAATATGATTAAAATATCGTAGAAACCTTATTTAGAATTATACTTTTGCTTCTATTAAATATAAAAAAAAAATTTTTTTTTAATAAATTCTCAAATTTATATAAACAAATTAATAATCCTGAATAATATAATAGCAAACTTATCTTTTATAAGTGAAGGGCATTAAAAGTTCCAAAGCAAAATATACACCCTCCCACTTAAATAACATCCAAAAAAAAAAAAGCTTGACTAAATCAAAATGGTTCAGATAATTAAGCCATTTTCCTCCATTTATTAAGAAAACTTTTCAATAAAATAGCAATATAAAGAATATAATTGCAGTTGTACCTAGGGCCATAGCCCTAGGTACAAGGCAACTATGTGGCCCTAGGTACAAGACTAGGTACTTTCATACAAAATGTCTTCTACTGAAAAACACACATGGAGAGGGGACTTATTTCATATCTCATTTTGTACTTAATGATACAAACAAAATTATGTACTAGAATTCAAAGAAAAGTATTTGACTTACCTTTGTAAAACAATAAAAGTGATGAGCTCCAAAATTTTACTTCAGACCTTATAAAACACTTTTCCACTTATAACTTGCCACAGCTTTCTCCTCTAAAATTTCAAAATGGCTACCAAAATAGTAATTGGTGTTACCACTCACCCAACTGAGTAAGAAAACTTAGAATTAAATATTATTTAATTTGAGTGGGGTGGCCCTTGGTACACAGGTCTCCCCTATTTTTTATCCTCATAATAAAAAGTTTTGCTTGCAGAAGATCTACTACAAACAACTATCCTCTATTAATGATGAAACATTATTTGTTTATTATATTTTAGTAACAGAATATTCTTTAACATATAATAGCTATGTGATTACAGAACTAATGCAAAGTGATTTGCATAAGATCATAGTTTCTCCCCAGCCTCTGAGTGCAGACCATATCAAAGTCTTCTTATATCAACTTCTAAGAGGTATTCAGTAATTAAAATAATTATTTTATTATAACAATTAAGAGTAGACACTAGTATGGTGACAAATTTTTTGTTTCTTCTAAATTGACTTTGTTTGAAATTTTATAATTTTTAGTTAATTTTGTTTGTTCTGACCTATTTTTCTCATTTATTTATTTGTTCTAAGTATTTTTATATCTATGTTCAATTTATTTACTCAACTGATCTTCAATTATTATGGGATAATAAACCTTTGTTTAGATTGTTTAAAAGGCGTTGATTTGTTTAGAATTTTTAAAATTTTGCACTGCTAAATGAATAACTTGATCACTAAGTGAATATCTAGACCACTTAATTTTCATTCCTAGCCTAATAATACTATTTAAGGTTCTTGAAATACTGTGTATATTTTTATTTTAAAAATATAACATGATGTTAAGTAAATTTTAGAAGAATTTTTCAGTTATATTGTTTCTACATACTTCAATTGTTCAACACACTTCATTAACTTATACAAAATTAACAATTTCAATGAAATTAAATTTTTGTTACAAGTTTTCTGAAATTGTATTTAGGCTTTGATAGTATTTTATTAGCAATGGTAGCCGAGCCACTTTTCTGGAAATCTTTTAAGTTCTTAAGTTGTTCTTTCAATTGTTGACAACAGTATAACCGAAAAAATTATGAAAAAATCTAGACCTGCATGGATTTTTCACTAGTGTTTAATGACAGTTACATCATGAATTTCCTCATAGCTTTTGAAATCTCATTATTTTGAAACTATATTTTGATAAACGGTTGTCAAATTGTACTATTAAGTAATATTTTTGTTTTTTTATTTGATAATTAAATTATAATTTCACATGTACTTGATGTTTATAGGGTGCAGTTATATGATGCACTTAGACATGTTTTTAAAATCCTGTTGTGTTTTTAAAAGTGTTTTAACACATAAATTTTAAATTGTGGATTTAAGTAATCATTTTGATGCAATTCATCAAAATTTAATCATAAATTTGCATGTTATTTTGAAATAGTCAGATCTGCTGGCCCTCACTTAGTTTTTAAAGTCCCAACGTTTTTAATGGTACAAAAAAGACATTTATTTAGTCACATTTTACCATGCTCAGTTCGCAATGATTTTAACGTAAATCACTGTCATTATCTCTATTACTTTTTCAATAGTTATTTTTATGGATAAGATTGTTTTACTACATTATTATGACATATTAATTTTCACATCTTGTCTTTAATTTAAAAATGATTTAGCTCATTTTTTTTCTAATCATGACTTGAAGAAAAATGTATTGATATTTATTTTGTGTTGAGGAAGATTCAAAACAAAAAATGATTCTTTACATAAAATAGAAAAAACAGGTTGAAGATGTTGTTCAAGGGCTGGAAGCATAAATTTATCTTTTTTTCTTAATGAATTAAAATGTTATCACGTTTCTTTGTCTATCATTTTAATATTGCCTCATGGTGTTCAGAAAATATGGAAATCTTTGCAAACTGTAAAAATTGAATCTCTTTTTATAATTAATACTGAATTTTAATCAATTCTTAAATGCTTCCTTAGAATACTTAGTATTTCTGGAAAATATTTTTTAAGTTCAAACTTTTTCTTATTAGGTTTAAAATATCTCCACTCATCGAATATTTTGCATCGAGACATCAAGCCAGGAAATCTTTTAGTTAACAGTAATTGTGTCTTGAAGGTAAGCTATTTTAAGACTTTAATTTATTGAATCCTGATGATAATAACATTTATTGACCTATGCTAGTTATTTTTTTAATACATTGTTTGAAACATACACATATAATAGTGTGCAAGTTAATATTTTATTTAAATGTATTTGGTAAATATTTATCTGAATTATACTTACTATCATATGTTAGTTATTTTATATGTATTTATAAATTTATATATTACATTGCTACCTATAATCTTGTATATTACATTGCTTACATTTTTGTAGTTCGAACTTCTTTTGTGCCCTTCTAAATTGTGTATTATGTGATAAGCTAAACTAAACTCAGTGGCGCGACAGCCCATAGAGGGCCAAAGCCTACTGTGCCCATCTCAGTTTTCTTGACCTTGGGCTCTGGGGTGCAGGAGCAGATGTTCCGGTTAGGTGGTCAGCCAAACGCGAAACCCCCAGTGTTTAGTTCCCAAGCATGCTTGGTACTCATTTATCGACCTACTGAAGTGATGAAAGGATGAGTCAACCTTGCCTGGCCCGAGAATCGAACCCAGGAAGGACCTGTGGCAAGAGAGCACGAAGCGATACCACTCAGCCGCCGGTCGTCAATGTTATAGAGCGTATTATGTGATAGAGCTTTAAAATATTGTTTCCACAGTTTGTTTTTAGTTTTTGCTCACTTTGTTTTAAATGATACTTGAAAATTGCTTAATATTTGAAGGGAGCTACAGTAATTTAAAAGTTTTTCAAATAAGACTAGTTAAAATTACAGAAGTTACAAACATTCAAATTAAACAGAATGTGAAAGTTCATAGTCTTCTTTAGCTGATAGAGTTATAAAAAGTAGTTAAATTCTTATTTTATTCATTATTTCACATTAATTAGTATTGTGTCAGTTGGCAATTAAAGTTCAATGTTTATTTATGTTTGCTTTACTCTTACATTATGAAACTATTGAAATTTTGGATTTGTACATTTTGCAAAACAAAAAAAAAATTTACACTCTAAATAGTTTCTGATCTTATGATTAGATTTTCGCATATTTCGGTTCAATCTTAGTTGTAGGAGAGCGTAACTAAATGCTTATTAGAGTAGGTGGTTTTTTTAGTTGTGGAATCCAGACTTCGACGTTACATTTTCTGAACAAATGTACCTTTTTGCCAGATTTGATTTCTTGACCTCCAAACCCCTTTCTTTTTTGCAAGAATAATTCTATTCGAAATATAAATTTTTGATAATTATTTATTATTTTTATTATCTTATTTTATAACTATCAAAAAATTTGAATTGTATGGTATGCAGATTTTTACATTAATGTAAAAAATGTAGTTTTGAATGGCAAAATTTGACCTAAGTTGATTGCTTAGTTCCTAAGAAATTAATTTAAATATACAGCTTCTTACTCAGAAACTGTTCAGCAGATTGCACTCAACTTTTGTATACTTACTACAATTTAATGCTTTTTTGACAATTATAAAATAAATTTTTCTTTGTACTTTACTTTTTTTAAAATCAATATCCCTTTTTGAGGTTGTTTTAATAATAGTATTAAAAAAACAATATAAATAGGTGTAAGCCTCTTTTTGTGGTCTTAAAATTTTATTTTAAATAATAAAACACTTCTCACTTAAAGTAAATTATTCTTTTTATTGTCGTTTGTTTTCTGTTAAATTAATAAAAATAACTTCACTTCAGTAAAAAAAAAAAAAAAAAACTATGTAAGGTTTATTATTTCAATAAATGTTTAATAATAATAATATATTTTTTTTGGAAGATTTGTGATTTTGGACTTGCAAGAGTTGTTGAGAAAGATAAAAATAGAAGCTTGACGCTGGAAGTAGTTACCCAATATTATCGAGCTCCCGAGCTTTTGATGGGAGCAAGACATTACACTGCAGCTGTAGATATGTGGTCAGTGGGATGCATCTTTGCTGAACTTTTGAGTAGACGAATATTATTTCAAGCACAATCTCCTGTACAGCAGGTAAATTTTGTTTACTTGTATTTAATCATTGTCTGAAGAAGGATATAATTTTTGATGTCATTTTTATGTCTATGCAATGATAATTGTAGTTTCTATATTTGTATTCTTTTTCTCTTCTCAGTCATATTTCTTCTTTTTCTCTTCTCTTCCAAAGGGGAAGAAACTAAATTGTGATTGGATCTATGCAATGTTTCTACCCCAAGATGTCATAAGTCTAATTCAACCCATGGAGCAATGTGTTACAATGCTTAAATAAAGTATTGTAACATATTTCTACATTCTCTTCTATAACCCATGGAATGTAAGAAAATGTTACAGGGGTGCCACTCTTCAATCCTGGGGACTGAAATCAGTCTTGAAAATAATCAATGGACTAATAAATTCTATCAATTAAATTAAATTTTCTTTTTTTTTTTCATTAAAAATTTATATTTTTTTTGGTTAAAATAAAAAATATATATCTTAATGGTAATGGATATGGTAATGATGCCAGGACTTTTATTTATCTTGACAAATGGGATTGATTGAACTTCATCTACTTGTGTAATTAAATTTGTAATATTGCTGAATCTAAATCTGTTCGAATTTGCTTCCTCCACCCTAACCTATTGTCATGCTAGCTAAAGTTAAATCAAGATTATTTTTTTTTAAAATAGAAGAAATTATAGTGCTAGAACAAAAAATAAGTAACACTGAAGTGAAAAATATGGTTATGAATGGTTTCAGGTTGTTCAGTAATAGTTGAAAAAAAATATACAAGGTTATCTGTTATTTTCGTTTTGTTTGCTAGAAAAAATAATCAAATAATTGATTTAATATGTAGGCTATTATCAAGGAAAGGTAAATTTTGGCAAATTTCTGAAAGTTTGGTAAGCATTGCTAGATAGTATTATTTGGTCAAATAATAATTTCAGTTTTGAAATTTTTTTAGAGTGGCACCCTTGAATGTAGAATAGACTAAGTGAAGGACAAATAATGATCGCCTAAATATAATAACTAAAGCCTAGTATTTTAGTTAAACTCAATAAAAAAACTTTTTGCTGCTTCCTTCAAATTGTGTCTGGCTACTAGGAATTTTTAATTTTTTTAAACCTCAGCGAAAGACATGTATTAAATGGCTGGGTCATTAAATGTTTATATTTTAAACATTGAAATTTAAAAATTGCTTTATTTCCCTTCCTTTAAGTTTTATGAATTCGAGTTTTGGATAGTTTGAGATTGGCCAGGTTCTGTACAACTATAATTGTAGAGACTGTGTATGCATGTATATTAATTTGTGTTCTATTCTTTAGTTGGATCTTATAACTGATCTTCTTGGCACACCTAATTTTGAAGACATGAAATATGCCTGTGAAGGTGCTAAAGTACATATTCTCAGTAAGCCAACGAAAATGCCATCTCTGAGTAAGCTGTATCATTTATCACCTCATGCTGGTTCAGAAGCTGTCCACCTAATCACCAAAATGCTGCTCTTTAATCCAGTGAGTTTTGACATTCTTTATATAGATAGATATAAATCTATTCAAAACTAAATTTTTGATACTTTATTTCTAGTATATCTAGTTAGTTTGTTTTCTATATGTTTCTTCCTTTTTATACAGAAAAACATGGAAAATTTTAAAGATTAATGAAAAGAGGAGAATAAAAATTGCTAAAATAATATATTTTTTAAAATATAAGTGAAAAAAATTTTATTTAAGAAATATTAAAAACCGGAAAACAAAATAACGAAAAGATATCTCTTCATCAGCTCACACGATTATATCCACCAAAAAGAGTGCTTTCTAATATTGTATCAATATAGCCAAAGCAAAATATATCAATAAAATAGAGCACTCAAAAGTTTATTGAAACAAAAATGGAACACATTGAGTGAAAGGTATATACAAAATAAAATATATCAAGGCATCAGGGAAGTTTCTTTCACAGTGGTAAAAGCTATGGAAAAAACATTTATTCGAAAATAAATATCAAACATGAAAACTAGTTTGTAAATAGTTAATAATTGTAATCTAGTTTAAAAAACAACAATCGGAAAAAAAATTGTATACCTTATTAAATTAGCTGTAGTTCTTCATTATTTTAGGTAAATGAGTATAGTAAAACCTAATTTTATGAAGAATTGTTCAAAATATCATAATTAAATTAATGCTTTGTTGTAAATTGTAACCTAAAGATATACACTACTGCAAATTACATATTAAATTCACATACATATAATAGTATAAATTTTTTTTTATTGTCAAATACTGTTAAGTATGAATACTCCAACTGATTCTTAAATAATATGATAATTGGATTTTAAAATTCTGTATAAAACAAAAATAAAAAGAGATGGTTATTTCTTTTTAAAAAATGGGCTAAAAACTGTTATTTTCTGGTACTATATAAATTTAAACTATTCTTATAATACTCATAGTTAAACAAAGTAAAGTGGCCATTTTTAGTTTATACTTCTTTGTCCAGTTTTATACAGTATCCGGAAAAAAATAAGTTTCTTCCAGGTAGATTTTCAACCTTGATCTGTATACACCTCATTAGAATTCTGAATATTTTGTGCCCATGGTACAATTTGTATGTCAGAAAATTAACTACTCAAATAATGACATGGTTTTTTTGGTTACAATTTCTAAGTGAAATATATATATTCAATCTTATCAAATCAATTTTCTATGTCAATTTATATTGCATGATTACTTTTTCAATATGAAATTGAATGATTAAACAGCTGTTTTTTGTCCTTATTTGTAAGATAAATATTTTCAGTTGTGTTTCAAATGATATGCGACTCTCATTAATATCATGATTTGTATTTAACAACATCTAGCAAATGAGCCCCGTGGTAGAATTTTTTCGATCTATCTGCAACAAAACTCTCCAGCACTAATATCTTTCTGCCAGATACTTTGAAAAATAACATATGTTACTAATTTAAAATAACAAAGGCCCTGTGTTTACAAAAAAACTATGCAATTTTTTTTTAAAATTGAACAGGTAATAATTTTTTATTTTAATATTATGGGTGATAATCTCACATTTTGTTGAAAAGGGAGGAGCACAAATTATTTCCTTCTTCACATTCTGTAAATAATCATCGGAATAAATAAATAAAAACATCATGAAATTCGTAATAGTAATTGCCGAGAAAAAGATAGATGAGGAAGTCACACGAATTGAAATCTTCAAGTGTGTGTTCCGTTTCGAGTTTTGGTTGTAATAATAATAATCATATTAAAAAAACGTATTTAAGAACAACTGAGATATCAATAGCAATAACTGCCAAAAATGCGATAGAAGTATTACCTTAAAAAGTAAATACTCAAATGCACGATTCGAATTTTCCATATCATTTGAAATATATCGGGGTATTTAAAAACCACATGAAAATCAATATCAATAAACTGCCGAACATACAATCGAAACATTACATCGATTTACAATACTATCAGCATAAATTGAGCATGTCAAAAGTTGATCATATAAATGCATTATTCAAATATTACGTGTAAATTTCTGTAGAAAAGAAAACTAAATTTTTTTACTTTTCAAAAATCTTGCTGCTAGAACTCATACATTCTGCGACAATGTGATTCTGCCACGGGAAATTTGTGTTTTCAATATCTATGTCTCACATAGTAATTCTTATTCACAACATTATTGTGACAAATCAAAGATTGGAAAATAAGTGTCATGTCAAGATAGGTTTTGTCTTTTCAGTATTCTTTGTATAAACAAATATATTTGCCTAGTTTTATAATTTTCTGAAAATCGTGCTAAATAAATTTTTCTCTCTCGCAGGACAAGAGGATCTCATGTGCTGATGCACTCGCTCATGCTTATCTGGATGAAGGACGACTGCGATATCATTCCTGCATGTGCAGATGTTGTTACACAACGCCACTGGGACGTCATTACACCGATGATTTTGAACCTGTTGCCAATCAACTGTTTGATGATTCTTTTGAAAGGAATCTAGAATCTGTAGATCAAGTTAAAGGTTAGTTTTTAAATACATTTGTGCTCAATATATTTTAATCTAAGATCTTTTCCTATTTTATATTGTCAAATTGGATTTGAATAAAATGATTTTTACATATCAAGCATAATGTAATTCATAAATTCTTCTTTTTTTTTGTCATTACTTTTTGCATTGAAGGAAAGAAAATTTGTATCATTCGAGTTACCCTAGGTTTGTTTTGAAGTAGGCTTTAAGAACTAACAAATCTTTTAGTCATGAAATATTTTTGATTCCTTGTCACCTGATTACTTTAGTTAAAATTATTTTTCAATTTTATAATTCACACGATATTATTGTAGTATAATTTGTTAAAAGAAAATTTTGTTACAAACAAATACAAAACAACAAATACAAAAAATGTTAAAAGATTCTAAAACCATGCTATTTTTAGAATCATCATCTGATTTGAGATATGTAATAAATGAATATATATATGAAAAATATGTAATAATAAATTTTTTAAACCTATTTTGATAATTAAAAAAAAAAAAAAAAAAAAAAAAAAAAAAAAAAAAAAAAAAAAAAAAACTCAACAAGATTTAACACACTTTTTACAGAAATTATGACTACAAATTTTTCCCTACATTTCCCCATAAGATATTGCTCTAAGGAACCTTCTCAAAGTTGGGTTATAAATTTGCTAGGATAAATCCACATGCTTGCTATTTTTTCGTGCTGGGGATTTATGCATCTTAGGGTAGGCTGCAGAACTTGTTTCCCTCTATGACTTTTAGCATAATTGTTGCATTGTAACGTGTCAACGGAATCGCTGTATGGTAAAATATGAAATGAAATACTCATTGTATTATACAGAATTGGCATTGTTATGGGAAATTTAACAGTTATTCATTTTTAATGAGATACTTTAAATGTATAATATAATAGTAATGGATAGTAATTTTTGAATCATGATTCTACCAATTTAGTTTTATATTTTCATAAAAAAAATCATACTCAGAGCTTTTTTATTATTTTTAAAAAAAAAAAGAAAATATGTTTGAAAGTAGTCGAATGATTAACTATTTCAAAAATGTTTTGTTTTATATGTATTTAATAAAAGTTTTTGTTTATTCAGATAGGCTCTATAGATTCATAACGGATCATTGTCAGCGGGCTACCAGAGTTCCATTATGTATCAACCCTCAATCTGCAGCCTTTACTAGTTTTTCAAGGTAATTAATTTCATTATAATATTATTAGAAATATGATGAATAGGTAAAAGCATGTAACCCTTATTTACACTTGTTCTATTTGGCAAATAATTCTTAAGGTCATTTATATTTACAAACATAAATAAGCTGTTTTCTCAAATATCCTTAAAAAAATTAATGATCAAAGATCAAGATAATGAAGCTATTTCAAAACTTTCTCTGCAGAAAAGAGAGGGGTAAAAAAAAAAAGCTGATTTGTGGTGTAAGAAAGAAACTAGGACTTATTCTTCCATGAATTCAAGAGCCTACTTAATTACTCATAACATTTTTGAAGAGTGAAAATATGTATATTTTTTTAAAATTAATTTTGTTAAAAAAAAAGTTTTTTTTCTTATGCTGAATTTTTTTTATTGTGTCAATAGACCAATTATATTTTTTATAAAAATTATTTTTCTATTTTGGTTTTTAAAAATGAACATAACCACTATTTTTTTGCACATAAATTGATAGTCTGTTAAATAGTAAGTGAGTTTTAGAAACTGTTATAAAAATGTAAGTAATAGTGAAGACATTTTTCTGTTAAACTTTTTTTCTCAAACTAAAATTACTTTTCACAATATTTAACCTTTATTTTGTTAATAATTTGTAGCTCAACTGTTGCTCAGCCCTCTGAACTGCCTCCCTCACCCCACCAGTGGGACTGAAGACTTAGTTGCAAGAAAATAAATTAAGGCCAAATCAATTTTCTACTACTGTGATGCAATCATAACAAGGAAATGCTAGAATTATAAAATATTGTGTTCAAGAATTATCTTCCATTGTGTTATTTATTTCTTAGGACATATATTATGCACAACCTTTGTTTCTTTTCATCTTCCAATCAAGGCATTGTTGAAATGTATTTCTCGTCTGAAAACATTGATATGATTTGTTTTTAATATATATATATATGAATGTTGAATGATTTTTACTCACATTAGTTTTTTAAAATAAGATTTTATCATATGTAGTTATTTTACTTAGATTGATTTAAATATGGACTATTTTTATGCGATACTTGATTTTTAAATGATTTGAAATTTTGTTTTATTCCTTTGTGTTAAAAACATTAAAATGTTAAATTATTAACTTAGAGATTATGCACAGCTGTTTCCACATCAAGCATTGCTTTTCTGTTAAATACTCCTAATGAAAAACTGGCTTGTTGTACTAGAAAGCAACTAATTGAGCTAAAAGCTTAAATTGTGGACAGCCTATTGTGATGATAATCCTATGCAAAGTGGCGCACAAAGTAAATAATTGCGATTTTCCATGAATTTAGAAAAATCTGCGAAGTTGTTAAAATTTTAAAAACTGGGACAATTTTAGAAGAATTCTAATTTTGTGACTTTTGTTAAGGAGGATATTGTAATTTCATAGAAGCTCTAACAACAACATTGATTGGTAAGAGAGGTGTGTTTTACTTGTCTGCTTAACTTGTAAAACAGGTGCAGTGCCCCCGATTTGTATAGTTACTGGTTAGTAAATTTATCATCAATTTCCAGCACAGATTTTTTAATCCAGAACAAAAACATTTATATATGATGATACTTAAGTTTCTTGGTTTATCAGACTCTAGGTCACTCATTGAAATATCAAAATGACTGAATTGTGAAAGAATAACTAATGTGTAAAGAAATTTGTTTAAAATTAATTTTTTATATTATTTACAGTTATATAACAAGTTATTAGTAAATATTAACAATCATTGTTTTTCTAATTGAAATTATAAAGCAGTCAAAATGACTTACATATTTTTGAGCAATCTAGTATTAGGGGGAGGGGGAAAAACTGGAAAATATTTTACATTTACTTTAAGGACTATTGTTTTTCACCGCTTTTATTGAAAGATTGGATTTAAAATTTGTTAGAATGTAGAAGGGTCAGGTTATGAAGTAAATCGGCAGCACTATCTTCATAAATTCAAATTTGTCTGCTACTCGAACACAATCAGGCAAATATTTATAAATTATAAAAATTTTCTGCCACCTCAATTTATTTTGAACGAACAATAATACTGCAAAACGTAAAATAAAATTTTATCTATTCCTTGATCTAACTCCCTTAATCTTGCAACTAATAGAATTTTTTTTTTAACTTTTTGTACTCTGAGGTGCTATTTCACTTCCTCTTTATAATTTTCATGAAAAACGAGATGCTGCCAGGGTGTGCATCGAGGACAGAATACTTCCTTCCAATAAAAATAAGTGCTTGGATTGTTTTACTGGGATTAAGGAATCATTGAATTTAATCTACCATATTTAATTATAATAGTTACATTAACTTTAAATATGATTTTTAATTGGATATCAAACTTTGTAGTTTTACATTAATGAATGTTATTGCATATTTCTACTTGTAATGTAAGAAAATACCCCTATTCCTAATGTGTAGTAGGTTTTCGGTTTGTGAAATCAACCAACGTGATAACGGTGGGCACTGTATTATGATGTTGAAAATCCTATTTTTGCCTAGAACCTGTGTTTGGAAACTTTAGGCAAAAATGTTTTTTGGAAGGACTTATCAGTGTTGAAACGTTCTAAGTAAAATGAAACAGATATGGATGGTGGTTTCTGTAATCAAAAGTGTGGTAAACTTATTATACCTTGGAGTTCATGCATATATTCTAATGTATTACATTATTTGTTGAAATTTTTTAACTCTAAAGGTAAATATAAGCTTAAAAAGATGTAGGCTACACCACCATTAAGAGCTAAAATATAAACCGTAATATTGAGGAATATGCATGAAATTAATAATAGAAGTATAGCAAGATACAGAATCTCGAAACAGTTAGTAAATAAAGCAACCCTATCTTATTAAGATTTTCTTTTAATAATTACTTTTTTTAAACATTTTTATTAATTCTTTCAGTTTGCTTTTTAAACACATAAAATATTTTTATGATTGAGAGTATAATTGCTAATAGGAATTTGTTTTTCAATTAAACAAAAATCTGCAATTTTTAAATTATACTTAAATTATTGCCTTGTTGATTAAGCTAACAATGGCTTGACTGAATTAGATGCAGTTTATTTACTTATTGAAAACACCATCTATTGAGTTTCAAATTGTTTTTGGTCCCAAAGCACAATCACTTGTCTGATTTAAGCTAGGTCTCTTGGGTAAAAATAAGAATGATTATTCAAAAATTCTTATAATATAGAAAAATTAGTTTTTAACATAATTTTTTTTTCCATTTACTGTCTTCATGTTCTTACAGCGACATATGTTGCTGTGAAATGTAGCCTTATAGATGTTTGTTTTGTATTTGTTCTGCAGTTGTTAGTGTCTCTTATCTATACATTTTAGTTTTCAAATGTTTTTATCTTGTGTGTGACAAGTTGGAAATATTTTAAACTTCATCGAAGGCAATTAATATTTTTCTATGTAAAGTTCATCTCTTGCCCATCTTTGTATTATTCATATGCAACTGATAATTCCGTCAGATGTAGTACTTGTCATCAGCCTCAATTTAGCTATTAAACTTATACTTTGTGAAATTTACTAGATGCTATAAGACATTGTTTAGATTTGTGTTAGTTTAACTCTATATGTTTGATAAAGAAATATAAAACCAACTTATAGAATGGAATCTAATATCAACTTCTGAAGCTGAATAATTTAATGCTAAAATATATTCATCAATATTCTAAGATTCTGATGCCTAACAGATTTAAAAAATATGCAATATCCAAACATAGTCATTTGTTGAATTGTTCTGGATATGTTCTCACTCTTACAGCAAAATAACTTGGGCCAATATTCATGAATCTTGGCTCAATAAGGTTTCAAAAACCTGTTATTTTTCAGATATTGGACCTATTTAGAATTTTCCAATTCATCCAATTTCAAACCAATATTGGTCCTATATAGAATTGTCAGATGCACCTGATATTTAATGTCCATTATTAGGTTCTATGCAGGCCCTATATAGGACCAATATTACAAGATATCGACATCACAATATAGGACCCAAGGTAAAATTATTGCTAGGGAACTGTTGCATGATTCTTTATAAATCTTTGATCTGTGTAGCATCCAACATAGATGATTTAAAATATAATACTATCAAAATTATATTTTAAAAATATACATTATATTAAGACAAGTTATATCTTTTGTATGGAATGCTTTAATATCTGGGCTGTGTGAGTTGGAGAAAATTTGTTACTGTTGAAAAATTTGCCAGTTATGTTGTTCAGGTCAAAACTATCACTCAACGGTATTGTATGACAATTATTTAATAATTATCACATTCAAAAGTTTTTGAAACAATGTTTTAGTGAAGAAAAAAAATTCAGATTAATTTACTGTATCATTTGTATGAGCTCTCTATGAATTATTTATACATCAAAATAAGTTAAATTCTTTTATAATAGTTCAGGAATTACTGTTATTTATAAAAATTCAATCATGTAGCAAATTTCAAATGTGTTTAATAACATACGGTGACTGAGGTATTAAAGATTTTTATTTTTTTTAAATCACTGTTACATTAATTAGTAATTAATGGCTCTGTCATTTATGATAGAAAAATGTATGTGTGTTTTAAATTTTCTCAATGTCTTGATCACATTTTTTTTAGATTGAGGCTTGTGGCATATCATTGTGTATGGCTAACATGTAGTCTGTTTTCCTATACATTTCATGATCTGTCATGTATGCACTATTGTCTATTTGCATTGCCTGAGTTAAGTATAAGGGTTTCATGTGTAAAAAAGCATCACTGCCACTAAAATAATTCACCTTTTTGTAAATACTTGTTAAAGTGATATTTACTGTACATAATGTTAATACCTCAATAAACAGGAATACAGGTGCATTTTGTCATGCACATTTCAACTTGATTTAAAACAAAACCCTTGTGATAATAGTATTCTTGTAACTATATAATGAGGATTATTAGAATCTGGTTTCAATGAGAAAATTTCTTGTGCTTATTAGTCTATTTAAATGTTAAGAAAATGTGGTTTGAGGATAATTTTTATTTTTAATCTTGCACTTGAGCTCATTTTTTGACCAGACTTTTAATTTTTTTTTCTTCATATGTTAGTCATGTGTTCTGTTTTGTTATATGCTTCTTGTCAATGTCTTTGTTTATTGAATGTTTTATTTAAACTTTTTGTTTGTTGTTACATAACATTCTGATATGGTTAATTGTAGTTTTTTTTTTTTTTAGTTTAAACTGCTGCTATTTATTTAATGTTTGTGGCATCAATTATTACAAAAATGTATTTTATGTTGAAGTAGATTAGCTCAAAACTTCTTCAGGGAAACTGTCATTTGTTTTTGACAATCTAGTTTAATTCATAATTTTTTTTTTTTGTTTTAAGCTGTGTATGTGGTGTAAACATATTTTAATAAAACTAAGTCTAAAAAATCAGTTTAATCTATTATTTCACTCACAAATTGCATATGAAGACTGAATTATTTACAGAAAAATTGTTGGTCTACCTTCCATTATTAATTTTCTGTCAACTGTTTTAAGATTTGTGGGCAAAGTCTTCTCCTTTCTTGATATTTCCTTTTAATTCTGGGATAGCTTTTTCTACTAAATCTTTTTCATACGCCGAGAGTTTTCCGAGTCCTAAATTCTTTTCGATTCCATTTTTCTGTAAGAAAAATTTTACAAGTCAGAGGCTACTTAAGCACAAAAAAATAAAAAACTTTAGTAAGTTGACTGAGAACTCAATACAATTGTAACACAAAAAAAAAGCTTTCATACAACATTATCAAGTTTTTGGTACTGTTAAAATAGCAAGGGGCATGTAAAAATAAGCCACATTTTCAATACTTCCAGGAAAGTGGATGAGTTTCTGGTAAACAAGTAGATTTGGCCTTTTCGTTAAAAATTTTACTCATCGGAATTTTTTTTCACAAAATTTCTTAATAGAAAATCTGATTATGTCAAAGGTACTGTAAACATATGAGAAAAAAATACCAGTTAATAATTCTACTGCTTTAAATAGAGTTTAAAAGGGAAGAATGGCAGTATATGAGGAAAAAAATATCTGGATTCATCAGCCTTTTTTTTTTTCCTTCTATTTTTGGCACATTAGAGTAATTTCTTTTTAATATAACCTCAAGCTTCAAAAATATACATTTTCCACCAATAAAATATAAGGTAGATTTTAATTCCATGCCTTTTCAATCAAAAGGTAAAATTTTAATTAACATTTGTATTTTTTTTATTTTTTTTGAAAAAAATTCATACTTATTAATTACTTTCTACAGCTATGCAAGTCTATATTAAGACAGCATTAAATGTTTAATTTAATCTGTACTTTTAATCTCAAGATTTCTAAAAATGTAATTTCAAATGTGTTGGAATTTAACACACACCGAGAAAGAAAGTAATTTCGTTAACTAAAATTAATTAATGCAACAATTTTTTTAAAATAAGTTTTAAAACTAAGAAAAGAAAATAATAAAAGTATCAATAATTTAAAACACTTTTTTTTTTAAACTTTTAAAATCAACAATATATATATATATATATATATTTAAATCAATGATTTTTTTTAAAAAAATCATTTGATTGTAAGTATCATCGTATTGTATTGATCATTTGTTTGAATGCTGTAATAAATGGAAAGATTAAAAAAAATTTAGTTCAACAAAAACTACTTTATCTTACCCCAAGATGTAAGGGAGTAGCGAAGTATGGAGCATCAGTTTCACTAGATTTAACATAAGCACATTCAATGACACCTTGCTTTCCGTTCATTGCACTTAATAACTGGAGGAAAGAAATAGATATTTATTTATTATCCATATGACAAGACATTAATTTCAGGACAGTGAGAAAAAACTGGATTTAGAATACTCACTGAAAAAGTGAATCGTGCCCCAGCATAAGCCATTGACAAAGTAGCTGAACCCTATTGAAATAGAATTGAGATAATATTACAAAAATGCAAAAGTATTTAGCACATCTGAATGAGTAACTGAAGGTATTAACTTACAGCTCCAGCTTTTGCTTTTACAACTTCAGTACCAGCTTCTTGAATTCTCTTTGTAATAGCATCTAGTTTGTCAGCTTCAAAAGAAACAGATGGCTTGCATTGAGAAATTAAAGGAATGATTGTTATTCCAGCATGTCCACCAACAACTGGAACATTTACTTCAGCTGGATCAAGACCCTTAATGGAATTAAAAAAGTCAAAACATAAAATAATTATATATTAATTTATAAAAATCAGCAAGATCTCATCAAATTTATTAGGAAAACGTACTTAAGCAGGAGTACTTATTTCTCACAAGTATCATTTTACATAATACTTAATAGAATATAATAACAATAGATTTAGTCTAATAATAACCTAGAATAAATTTAAAAGTAAAAACAAGTAAAACAAAGAAGCAAGACTAGAAAAGTTTTTTGTCTGCCTTCCCCAAAAAGATTTTGGGTTTTTTAGTTTATTTAAAACAAAAGGTCAAAATTTTTTTTTGCTCAAAATTAAAAGTAACCAAATTATTCAAAAATATTTCATAGAAAAAAACTTTTTACTATTTGTGTTTTTAATAAAATTTCAAAAATATCCACTTTTGTTCTATAAATATGCTCACACGGCAAAAAAAAAAATTTCTAAATATGCTTATATATTACTATACAACTCCATGCACTTAACACAATTTCCCTAATGCATGTAAAAAAAAAATTCCCTTTGCTTGTTTGCAATATGAAAATGCCAGGCTTCCACATTATTATTTGAAAAGTTTAGTGGTAGAACCGCTAAGTGCCATTTTAGTAAATGAGCGGTAAAGTTTATTTGTTCTTTTTTTTACGCTCAAACTTTATGTATTTTATGTGACACCCAAACAGGTTTTTAATAAAATTTTACCATTTGGGAGTTTAAACATTGATTTTAATGAAATTTAATTTTTCTCATAATCTTATAATATAATTTTGATAACAAAATTTAAGAAATACAACTTCGAATGCCTACACAGTTTATGTTCGGTTGGTTGAAGTTTAATGTCCCAAGAGAAATAAATTTATATCTGGTACTTTCAAAAATTAAATTGGCCATACCTTGGCTTCTGCAATGAATGCATCTGCTCTGACAACATCTAAAGTAGTTACACCAAAAATCCTGTTGGGATCAAAAACATTATGTTTCTTGAAAATTTCAGCAGTGATGGGCACAGTCGAATTTACCTAGAAACAGGTAAAAATATTATGTTGTAACATATCTAAACATAAACTAAAATATGCATACACAGGTTAAATCATAATATACTCCCTGATATGATATACAGGGTATCTGTTACATTTTATATTTTAAAATTTCATGACTTAACGAAGTTACTATTTTCTCAGACAAAAACACAACAATAAATTTAAAAAAACATTACAATAATATTCATTGAAATGATAGGTATAACCAAAACTGTTATACTTTGCATCGTCATATTTATAGATTTTAAATTTAAAAAACAGAGTAAAAAATAGTTAAAGCAATAAAATATCTATAAAAAAAATACAAAAGCAAATAATTCTCACCCCCCCGAGAATTACAATGTAAAGATACTTTTCTCGTTCATCGCAAAAGAAAGAAATATTATGTTATGCTGATATTTCTGTTCTCATTTCGGAATAAAAAAAGTTGAAAATGACTGGTTTGCTTCAGCTACAACTTTAAATTGATAAAATAAAAATTCTGAAATCACAGAAGTTTAAAAGATAATTTGCTCCAGAAATTATGTTTTTCTTTCATATTTTTAAAGAACATGATAAAAACATTTTATATACTCATGGACAAAAAAATTAGCGCACCAAGAAGGAGTGGTCAAAATGAAACAAAATTTTACATACGCAATGACTACTTTGATATTAGAAAATCAAAGAAAAACAATAATCTTTGATTTTCTAATCATTTACTTATATCAAAGTTGTCATTACGTATGTAAAATTTCGTTAAATTCAATGTAAAATTTCGCAAGAACTGAAAATTTAAAACTTTATCATTTTTATTTCTTTTATCATAACTGAAGAAAAAAAGCCTTCATATTTAAGAAGAAAAACTTTCTAAATTGAATTGTAAATTATAGGTGCACAGCCAAATTTCTCAACAAAAAATAAGTACCTTTTAAGTACTTTTTAAGCACTCAAGGAATATTTTTAATCCCTTTCCAAAAAAAAAAAAAAATCATAATTAGGATCTGTTCAGTACTAAAAATTATTTTTTTCTATTGTTTAAAGTTCTTAATTAATAAACAAAGTCAGTAAAATTCAAAAACATTTTCAAAAACTTTACATTATCATGATAAAGTAACTAGTTTCTGATAAATATTGTAGAGAAAATTGTGAAAATCATGAATTTTTTGTAACTTAGAATGACAATCGACACTGCAAAGAATTTTTTTTTAAAGATAAAAATTTAAGCACTTTTTACAAACCTCGAATAAAAAAAGCACCTTTAAGAGCTTTTAAAAAACGTCAATCAAAAATAAACACTTTTTAAAAACGCTACACACTCTGTAATAGAAAAAACTGGTTCAGTGACTAACAGTTGAAAAAACCGTACTTTAAAACTCATGATTTAAAGTCAATTATCTTATGATTAAAGTTGAAAACTTTTACAGTTGTAACTTCTTAAATTCTTAGCACAATAAAAATATAATCAAAATTTTTTAGAGTTCACTGATATCATGCAAATGCTTTTAGAATTATCTTTCTTTATATTACACATTTCTCATCACTCAAATTTATTTTTAAGTGCAGATGATCTTTTGATTTTTCCCCCCTTGATCTAAGGCACAATGTTGATAATAAAATTACTACCATCTATTCATAACATTAAAATAAAGGGAGTTTTAAAGTACACTATTATATAAAACAGCAATAATTGTGAAGTTATAACTAAGTTAAGATATAATTATACATAAAATTTAAAAATTTCAAAGTTATATGACATATTTATCCTGTAACCTTTTACAGAGTTAAAAAAATGTGAATTTTTTTTTTTTTTAAATTTAAGAAAGTGTCAGATGGATACCAGGGGTTTGTCCAAGCCAAATTTACTACCGTTAGCGGTACCTTCACAAATGCAACCTTTAGGAAAAACGGTAGTTTCACAAAATACTTTTTCTTAAAATGTTATTTTTGTGTCTCGTCAGAAACGATAGATCAGTATTTTTGTGTTGATTTTTTAATATAATTTTCACAAAATAGGTACCTCTCAGAAAAACCTAGACAGAGCCCTGGATATCATACTTAACAATACCGTTACTTAAAGCATTGGGGTACAAATATATTTAAAAGCATACACAGCAATTCTTAATAACTAAACAATGACATAAATAAACAGCATATAGCTGTAAAGTAGTCAAACAAAATAAGTTTTATATGCAAAATAATAAAGTTTGAATACTCAATAATGTAAATTCTAAAATAAGTACTTACAGGGTTGGCAATGATGCAAACCATTGCTTTAGGACATACTTTAGCACAAGCATCAGCCAAATCTCGTACTATAGATGCATTTGTATTGAATAAATCATCACGGGTCATTCCAGGTTTTCGTGGAACTCCAGCAGGTATCACTACAACGTCACATTTATCCAAACATGCCTAAAAGAAAAAAAATTTTAATTGAGTATGGCACTTTTACAAATTATTTCCATAAATAAAAGGTTAGGTTTAAAACAATAAGTAGACAAAAACAACTCCTAATTCAGTTATATCATTTTGGAAAAAATCAGAGTGCCTTTTCTCACAAAATAAAATTTACAACTCTTAGAAGTTAAACATTCAAGAAGGTAAATTTTCTTACAGAAGCAGAAACAAATAAATATAAAGCACAGAATAAACACAAATAATAGTTGTGATATAAACTCAGGGGCAAAAATTGAAAGGGGATAGAAGACCTCTGCGTAAACTATTTTCACCATACAATGCAAGGGCGGAGAGCAGTGAATCACTCGAAAGTATCCGTTACTGTCACATGAAAGAATGAGACACCAAATGGATACAGGGATTAAATTAATTAACAGCATGAAGGGTAAATAATAAATAAATTGCTAATAATTGTGGTAAAGAAAGCATTATACCTGTAACATTGCAAGTGGTGCATATCATTTAATTTATTTCTAATTAATTCAGTACCACCTAGTGGTTCGCAGCTTACTTTCTGCCCATGTATTATGGCAAGATTGTTTGTTTAGATGCAGAGTTCTCCCTAGGAATAAAAAAGAGCAGGGTGCTTCCTCACATATAAGGAAATTTTGAGTTTCGACTCACTCAAGAGCCTAAAAATTTATAAAATGTTTTTTGTTATGGAACAACTGAATTTGATCCCTAATAATTTTAAAATTACCCTCTTATACTATTTTATGTGTATTTCAAAAAATACTAACTCATTATCAAATTAAGAGAAAAATTTGAAGTTAAAATAATTAGTCATTTCAAGACAATCACTGTGCTAAAGTTTTTTCAAAAAAAAAAAAATTATATGAAGATTTTTAAAAAATAATTAAATGATAAACAATTTGAAAACTTTTGCTTTTTCCTATAGTTTAAACTGAAAATGAGACAATAAACATCTAAAGCATTCTTTTTTTTTTTTAAAAAAAAAAAGGTATTTTAATGGGTAAAGGTATTGAAATTTCATAAATACATTGTCTCCAAAAAAAAGAGAAACTTATCAAAATTTAACCAGGTGAGAATAATACTAACAAACGAAATATTTGTAAGAGAAATTGGAATGAAACACAAAAACTCAGATAATTTTACCAGTGTGTAATTATTATTTAAACAGTGAATTTATTTTATTTAAATGGAATATGAATAAAAAAAAGTTTTTTAAAGGGAAGTTACAAAAGGCTTATTTTTACAAAAAGGGAGCATCAAAGGACGGAAGAACACTGTTAGATGCTTTCTATCATTCCTCTAATTTTTGATCACGAGTTTCAAAACACTGTGTTAGTTCTCTTTAATAAAAATAATAATAAAAAAATGATTTTTCTTAAAAAAAAAAAAAAAAAAAAAAAAAAAAAAAAACTGGGTCTATTAATACAAAAACTTAGCTTTTAGTATAACACATATGCATACTGAAAGTATAAGAGATGAAAAAGATTGAATAGATAGCAGCTGAATCTAAGCTAAAAAAAAAATTAAAATATTTTGCTTATAAGAGAAAAATGAAATAAAAATTCTAGTCAAAGAAAGATAATATGCAATTAAAGTCTTTTTTTTTTTTTTTTTTTACAAGTCTAGAAATTATTTTAGTTTGATTAAATAAATATATCATAATTATAATTTAAATATAAGCATTATGAATGGCACAATAAACTTAATACTATTAGTTAACTGTACTATACCCATATCAACTGAGGCATTTATAATGAAGAAAAGGCACAAGAAAATTAAAAAATATTACTTCAAATTAAAAAAATAAAATTAATTAATTAATAATCAACTTTTGGGATTATAACTCATAAGTCAATTAATAAAATATAGTTAAATTTTAAAACGTAGCCTATACTGTAACTTTAAAAAAAATTATACCATTACCAAAACGTTTTTTTAACTAATTTCGTATGCTGTGAAAAGAACCTAAAATGAACTGCCGCTTCACTGCATTAAAAAAAAAAAATTTAATCACTTAATAAACTAGGAGTCTATGCTCCCTATTTGTACTGCTTATCAACTTCTATAATCGTTCATTTTTGTTTATCTTTCATTATTGTTTATCTCATCCATTATTGTTTATCTTTTCTACATTGTAAACATTTCCAACAGAAACATTGAATATTTTGATTTCAAATTATTGTACCCTTATGCAACAACATTCTGTTAATGGGTTAATTGCAATGAAACAGATAATTATCTAGATTTGTAAAATAATCTTTTTCATTTGAAAAACAAATTTATCTAAGAAATAGAGATAGACTACGAATAAGAAGAAATGAATGTGAAGTATTTTTACTTCTTGAAGAGACTTATAACAATTCAAATAGGGAGCAGTTTTTATCGTTATATATTAAGCTTTTTTTTTGTTTTTAAAAATTTCACTATGAATTTTAAAATGATTTTTACACGGAATAAACTTACGATGATGTTTAATAGAATAAATTTACAACATTAATTGGTAGTTTCCTAATTTAATATACTAATGTTTACATTGACCTTTCACAGGAAAAACATTGAAAAAATAATTAATCACAATTAGAATTGTGGTATAGAAGTGTTTATAATTAATTTTTAGTCAATTTTACTAAAGAGAACTTTTGAACATTTAAAAAAAACTAACAATATGCAAATTACATACCGCTAATTGATCTGGTCCCATGTGACCTGTAACCTTAGCCCTGGAATTTATGTGACTTAAATCTGCAGCAACACCTGGTGTATGAGCAATATCATACAATGATAAATGAGAAACTAATGGACTCTGTTTAATAAGCAAAGACATGGGCTGGCCAATGCCGCCGCTGGCTCCAAGAACAGCAACTTTGGCATTCCTCTGAAATTAAAAAGATTAAATTTGAAATGAATCTTATAACATAAAAAGTGAAATAAAGCTCACAAAAATATCAGTCTGAATGTGATATCTGAGAATTTTCTTTTAGATGCACAAACTTTGAAATTCATAGAGCATTTATATTTAAAGAGAAAATAAATATAATTTATTTATAATAAATATAATTTTTTAAGTTTTAAATTTTTTTTAGATAAATACCACTTTAAAAAAAAAATTACCTTTAAATGTTCATTTTCTAGTAATTTTCAGAACAAAATCTTTTAAGCTGTTTATCAAAATTTTTTTAAATTTAAATTTTTTTTTTTTTTTTTGAAAAAAGAAACAGGTATGCAAAGAAATAATCTCTGAACATAAATATTTAAAAAAAAAATAATTATTAACTGATAAACAATTTGTAAGATTTTTATATAATTTAAACTGAAAATTATGAGAAAATAAACATTTAAAGATGCATCTTTTAAAAAAATGCAGATTTAAAAAATTTATTAATATCCCCCCTGAAAAAGAAATAATTTTAAAAATTTAAGAGTTGAGAATAATCCAGTAAAAAATATATTTGAAATAGTAATCAGAATTAAACTTATAAAACACAGATAATTTCACCAGTGTGCAATTACTTAAACAGAGAATCAATTTTCTTTTATCAATTATCAGAAAAATTAATATTTTTTCATATTTTTCACATTAGGGGCCGTTCAAAAAGTACGTACATCCTGAAGGGGGGGGAGGGGTTCAAAATTTCTCCATTTTTGTGTACGTACTTTTTGAACGGCCCCTTATCATGATATCATTATATAGGTAATATTATCAATTATAACATTATAATATTATCAATTTTATTGAATAATACACTCCAAAAAGCAAGTTATGAGTAACTAAATAAACTGCTCTTTCATGCAAAATATTAAGGATTTATAAATAAAATCAGCCTATTTAAATATTGATTTAAATCAATGCATTTTAAAAGAATTCAATGTTTAGAATCTCCAGGCATACTTTTTAAGGGGTAACGTCAGGTAACAGTGATTTCTGTCAATTTGAAGAAAAAAAAGCAGATACCTTAATAAATTTGTAATTCAGGTGATAATTATTAATTATACATTTCAATGGATTCGTTCTAAACTTAGTAGCTACTGCAGGGGTGAGTTTTCAAAACGGAGGGAACAGCTTAAAAACATTTTCCACTTGAAGTTAATAAAACGCTAAAATTAGCTATAACAATAATATTGGGGGCAAATGAAATTGTTTTGAAAATCTTAAGAAGATTGATTATTAATTAAGATGATCATTTAAGACTTTTATCTCTCAGTCTCAAAAACGTAAAATATGGAGCATCAACAACTCCAACTGCAAAGTTTTTGAAAATGTAAGATTCATTTGAATCTGGATTGCAAAACAAACAATATTTCAATGCATCAATCAAAAAATAATATTGCACTTCACGATACACTCAAGAAATGCACACACCGGCGATGTGTCTTTCAATTAATGATTCATAAAATAGAATTATTAAAGTTATAATACCTGTGCTGACGATGAAAAACTGCGGGTTAATAAACTGCAAGCAGGAGCAGCTTTAGTCAAAGTGGAAAACATTATTTAATTATTAAATTTAAATTTTGAAAAATGAAACCAGACAGAATATCAGCAAAAGCTCAGGATCAAATAGGACGTGAGAACCGTTGCCAGCGTAGAAATAAGATATACAAATCTTTTCCAATAAAGATTGCTTCTCACCGAATACTATCTCCGCATGTGCACCGTATAAGCGATTCTTTCGTTGCAATCAGTCCGGTAGATGTCACTAAAATAGGTAATGAATTCTATTATTTATTGGCAATCGCATTGCTCGAATGTGCCATCTGGGGAGAAGACCGAATCCATGTCTTGAACCTTCCCCTTCTCCTCTTTTCAGTTGAATGCACTACGATATATTCCAGGCAAAGCAGGTCTCGGTTGAGCCATTGTATTCAGTTGCCTCATTGACTTTTGATGAGCTTTACTCCAGGAAAAACAATGACTTAAAGTCTTGGAGGGTCCCTCCCATAGAGTTGATATACTGGGTAGAGAGAGTAGAATAACCCCCGACCATAGAGTTGAAATAGTAGGTAGAGGAACCAAGTTTGCTTTACTCCTTCCGAAAAGACGCGCCATAGATAGCAAGCAAAGAGCAACAATCACGTGATGGAAAGAGTGCAATACTTGGCGCAGTATCACAAATGTTTGCGCACAAAATGTTTTAAACAGCTTTATTTCGATATTACCGATGCGCAAATAATCGCAGCATTTGAAAGAGAGCAAAAAAATATTTTCGTTAATCACATTTCTTTAATATTATTAAATGGGTTTTTAAAACATAAGGAGCTTTTTTTTCTTAACAAATAATTTTTAATTAAAGTACTGCCTTTATTAAAAAAATTTAAGTAGTTCTCGTCTTTACCCTTAACACTATTCCTTAAAAACTTATTCATTATATAAAAATAAAAAACGATATTTTGCACCACTTATATTTATTACTATATTCAGAAAAAAAAA